GGTATATTGGTAAAGGAGAAGTATGGCCAAGTATGAACCCCAGGTTTCCAATTTTGACCTCTGCAAAGAGTTAATGTAGGGCTGTTCTTTCAGTTCTTATTTATCTCTGTAAACATGGCAATAATTCTTGATCAAACTCTAATAACAAAACCCCTGAACATTCACACAGTTGCTGGGTAATATGCCCGAAGATGTGGATGAAGCTAAATCAGTAAGACAGCATGTTTAAAATAAACATGAAGATTCTTGATATGCACCTGGTGTCTGACATGGGTTTGCACCATGGCTGGTCACATACTTGACTATGAACTCTAAGGCTCATGCAACCTTTCTTGGGTAGAGACAGCTCGCATGTATCTCTGAGGTTCACAAGTAAAGAAAAAAGTACCTCTTGCGGGACTCTTCCAGAGAAAGAGGGATTACTCAGGAGCCTATGCATGACCTCTTTAACGGTGGGTATCTTTTTCTCACTGTCCTTAGACTGTATCCTTTGCTGTAGTAAGTCTTTGCTGTGAATACAACTTTATATTGAGTCATAGAAATTCTTCTAGTGAACCACTCACTGAACTAGTGGGTAGTCACTGGACTGCTAAGACAGGACCACTGAGTGGACAGGAAATTAAGGGGTTGGTAAGGTGAGAGAAGAAATGAATTTAGTTTCCTTGTAAGGTGTCTTGATCACTTCATTATCTTCATTATAATTCTATGGTTTTTGAGCAGAAAAATATTTGTTTACCATTTTAGCCTTATCAGTGGTTCAAACTTCTCTTCAGCTTTAACTCAACTATTCCATGTTATTTTTATTAAATTTAGAAACAAAATATAAAGGAACATCCCTTACTTCAAAAATTTATCCTGGTGTATTTTGTGATCTGTTCCAAATCTTATAAATATTACCACTACTTTTTAAATCATGTTATTTTATTCTTCTAAAACCTTTACTGGGCATCTCCCATGTATCAGACATTTGGCTAGATGTTAGGGATAAAAAGATTAAAAAGACAAAGCACCTGTCCTAGAATCTAGAGAAGGACACATATGTAACATAACACATCAAAATATTCTCTAAGCTTTTCTTCATGTTTCATTTCTAAAAGTATTCAAGACACAGGCAATATAAAAGATTGCATCATTAATGTCATACTGAGATTGAAAGTACTGCATTGTATATGATGAATCAACTTTCTTATGAAAACTCCTCTGCAGTAACATTTGAAAGTCTGAATAATGAGCTATTCCATGACTGAGTCAATGAGAAACAAAAGGCAGCCAGAGTAATGGTAAAAATATTATCAGAAGCTACCTTTGCTTCCTGAAAGTATACAATTGTCTGGTAATTGAACAGCTTTGCTATACTTAGGTAAGTTTATATTTCTGAAATAATCATTCGTTGTAGAGTTTGAAGTATGACAGCAAGAATAAGAAACAATTTCTCATTCTTTCCATGTATCACTTTGTACTCTATTTGGCTTTGCTAATAGAACATCTTTGAAAAGCTATATTCTACTTTATTTATGTCTGCAACCTCAGAACTGCAAGCCTGACCTTCTTCTGAAGCCCTAATATACATAATTTATATGCTTATGTGTGATGTGTTATATATATATTAATTTATATAAAAACAAAAACTTTATTCTAAATTCATTTCTTTAGAAATGTTATATCTCTTTTTTAAATAAAGAGGTAAAAACCTTAAAACCTTAAAATATCAATTTATATAAAAACCAAAACTTACTCTATTCTAAATTCATTTCTTTAGAAATGTTATATCTCTTTTCTAAATAAAGAGATAAAAATTATTTTATCATTATTCTGAACACAATTCAAGGATTGCAAATTGAATACATTTAAAAGAATAACAAAACACGTATTTAAAAGTATTCACCTTTTTGAATTTAAAGTGCTTTTTTACAAATGTAAGCTTATGGAGTTTTACAGAAATTCTGCTGTGTATAGATTTCTGACAGAGAAAGCAGCCACAGAAGAGCTAAAGACAACTCAACCTGCTAATTGGAAGAGTTTTCATTAACTGATGATAGTTCTAGAAAGCTCCAATATGCAATAATAGACAAGTATAAGAGAAGTTGAAAGTGGATTTTAAAGAAAGAGAATGACTAAAGGATAAAACTGGCTAACATTTGAAGTTTTACAAAGAACAGAGATTGTAGGATAGCTGCAATGAATTTTAGAAATATAACCAACCAAATATAAAGTATTATTTGAGGCAGTGGTGTCAATCTAAAAATATCACTATTGCACCAATTATTATAATTACCACTAACATTTAGTAAGCAGTTACATGTAAAGCACCATAAATGGATTCAATCCTTATAACTACTTTATGAGGTAAATACTTTCATTAACTTTATTTTACGAATGAAGAAACCAAGGTTTATAAGTAATTTGCCCATTATTATAAAGCGAATTAGTCAAAAAGCAAATATTAGAAATCAAGTCATGTGATTCCAAATGCTGAGAAGTATGCTATGCTGCCTCCACAAATGGTAGAATGGGCCAGTGCCAATAAACTGTGGAGATATTAACAAATAAATTGTTTCTTGCATTTTCTTTTATACATATATTCATAAACAGAAGAATAGAGGTTTGTTCACCCTACAGTGTAACTTCTAAATTTTCCAGTGGAAGACAAAGGAGACATGCTTATTAACACTGTGGAAACAGCTATCTTTTCACAATATAAAAAAGCAAAGAACATCTCTGACAAAATGGTACGTTGACTTATCCAAAACAAAAAGGCAGTATTTTCATACTCTATAGGTTCTAAGCAAACTACTGAATGCAACTAATACATGACCTATAAGCACTGAAAGGGAGATATAACAATAGTAAATTGGCTGTGAGGATGGACTACCGAGTCAGGCTGCTTCGAATCTACACCTGGCTCCACTACAAATAAGGAGAGTTACTTAGTCTCTGTGCCTCAATTCCTTAATCTCTATAATAAGGATAATAATATACTGTAAATGTACCTACCTGAAAGGAAATGCAATAGAAAGTACTAAATTAACGTTAGCCATATTTATTATTAGATCGAAGTATATAAAATTGAAGGCTGATTTTCAATAAATGCTCTCATGCAAACACACTCCAGCACTAAATTTTATACACAATGAATTTGAATATGAACACTGTATAAGCATATTTTTTAAAAGTCACTAGAAATCATGGCCTCTAAGAAACAAAATAAACCAAAACAAAACAATACAAAAAAAAATGTATTATCACTGTCCTTTTCCTTTTCTTGCATAAAGGAATTTAAAAAAGAGCACATCTAGTCTTGCTTTGTAGAAATCAAAAATAACAAACTAATACATATATGGATATGGCATTTCATAAGATTAGAACTTCTATTAGCAACAGCTTACCATAATCTTACTATCAACAATAAAATTTTGGTAATCTTCTGAAATAATCTCTTCTTTGGGATAGTGGTTCTCATATTTGTTTGGATGGCAAAGCACAAGCAAATAAAGGTGCTCTTTATGGGCACTCAAAAGTGATGCACTTAATGGTATAAGAACGAGAAAGCTATTAAAAAAACTAATACATATATGTAACATATATGCATATTCTCCAATACGAAAATAATAACCACAAACTTTATCTATGAAAAATCTAAGCAAAGTCAATGTAATTTTTTTCATTAATATTAATTTCATACTTGTTAATAGTCACAATAGCTAACTTCTGAATACCTACTACATGCCAGGCAATATGCCAAAGATTTATATGTACATTTTAATTATAACTTATTTTTCCTACTCATAACAAGATGGAGGTAGTCATTGTTTTCATTTTGACAGTGAAACAACTGAGGTGTCAAAAAGGTTAGATATAATTTAACCAAAGTTCAAATAACTAGTAAGTGATAGAGCAAGGACTTGAACCCAAGCCTAACTCACACCTTGTGCTCTTAACCACAAATCTATACCTCTTATGTGATAAAATCTAAAAATTTAAACATTTTACATCACTATATTTAAATTGTGTACCAGTCAGAAAAGATCAATATTAATCAATTTTAAGAACAGAATGTAAGTATCAGTGGGATCGTTTAAGAATCATTGCTGGAGGTCTAATATGCAGCATGGCGATTACAGCTAATAATACTGCATTATATATTTGAAAGTTGCTAAGAGAGTAGCTCTTAAATGTTAACACAAAAAAATGATGGTTATACGACACAATGGAGGTGTTAGATAATGCTATGGTGGTAATCATTTTGCAATATATAAATGTATCAAAGCAAACACATTGTATATCTCAAATTTACAGTGTTATGTGTTAATTCTCAATAAAGCTGGAAAAAAAGAATTGCCGAGAAGCTTCCTATTAATTATTTTTCTGGAAATTATTCCTAAATTCCAAATGTAAGGTGTTTTTGTTAAGTACACAGCTAAAGAGATTTAGTTCTATAAACTGTAGTTCAAATAAAGGCCTTTTCACTAAGATATAAGTCAATTGTAAAATTGATCATTGATCGAGAATATTGTTGTTTTAGGGGGTAAACTAAATCCACTCTGCCTGTTTGTAGCCATTTTTGAATTTACTTATTTTAATTTGAAGCAGGTACAAGGGCTAATACTGTCAAAATAGAAAAAAACAAATAACCCTTAGTCTTTAGTCTAATCGCTATTTACTAAAGGAATACTACCAATATAAATATTTAGTTTTGTAGATATAATATTACCCTGTATGTCAATGATTTCTAATTTTATATTTAACTAGCATATTTATAGCCATAATTAGAAAAATAGAAAAGCATATAAAAATAATTTTCATCAATGAGAACTTTGAAAAGTTTATTTATATATCAAACATGTCTAGCTCAATCCAACTTAAAATCTTATTATTCTGGAATGAATTTTTACTAAAAGACAAATATCTTGAGTCTGCATTAGATAGCTATTAAAGACCAGAAAAGCTGTTAATTATCAAATTTAAAAATAATCTTAAATCAAGCCTTAAAATGCACATACCTTATGATATCCATTGCCTGGTAAAGGATTTCAGATTGATCAACTCCAAGAACCTTCTTCGCCCCAGCTTTAGCAGCAAACATAGAAAGAATTCCAGTTCCACAACCAACATCCAAAACTATCTGGTATAAAAAAACAAAAACAAAAACAAAAGATGTTATTGAAAAGGCCTAATATTTTAAATTCTATTCTTATATTATGTTGTTTCTGGCTAGGAATAGATCACAAAATCTTAAAACTTTGCCAATCAAATATGGCAATAATGTCTACTTGGGGAAACTGAAGATATCATTATAATGGGTTATTTGTAACAGTATATTTGGCCATAGTCTGTTGCAATCAGATGCAACAATGTAAATTTAAGAAATTTATGAAATAAGCAACTTCCATAGACTTCTTAATAGAAAAACAGTCTCTGTTTTAAATTTTCCTATTGTATGCATGTTCTAATTTAGGCTTAGTAATTTGTAAAGCTAGCATTCAAACATAAGTCAATCTGCTTCTAAAGCTTATATTTAAATTAAATTATATTTTCAATTGTGTATAAACTATTTATTACAGTTAGCTCCAAATCAGGTAACTGAGGACATAAACTAAAACTTGACAGAATCAAAGAGGTAGAAATGATAAACAATAAACTAATACTTATAAAAAATGAAGAAATTTGATTCACTTTTTCCAAAAAAAAGAAAAAAAAGAAAAAAAAGAAAAAGTGAATTTTAGCTGTAGTTAATAATCAAAAGCATAAAGAAGGCACCTAACTGTGAATTTCTTCAATAGACCAGAAATAGAAATTAATTATGAGTGGGTGATAACATGATTAAATGCCACCCAAAGTTAAATTAACTCTGAGAAACCATATGGTCTCCACAGGAACTTTGTGAACTGAAACAACATTAAGAAAGGAATAAAAGAGAGGAGGCAGAAGAGAGGAAGAAACACATTTTTAATTATAAGCAACTTTTTGAAAAATAAATCTCTTCTATGTTCTATATTTATAATATAAAAGCTAATGTTGTGATAAAGTTTGTCTACCTAATGGAAATAAAAGCAAACAAAAGTGATGATAAAACTTAGGAAAATGTTATTTCACATATTTTTAAAAGACTTATATTTAAATAATTTCATGAACATATTCTATCATGACAACACAAAAATTATATGACCTATATATAAAAAATAGTGTGAATTAAAATGTAAATAATAGATTCCACCCTAATTACTTACTCATTATATTGTAACATAACGGTGTTCAAAGTGGCATAGGATTAAGGGCACTAGACTAAGAGTAAAAAACCTCAGATTTGTTCACTTAATGGCTTTGTTTAGGGCTAGTCAATTACCCTTGTTGGTTTCAAGTTTCCTCATGTGTAAAATTAAGATAAATACTTGCCCTGCCTAGTTGAAGGAATATCATATAGCAACAAAGAGACAACATGTTTGAAAGTAATCTATAAATTGTCAAATGTTATTTAAATATATGGTAGTATGTTTTGCAGCTATAGTATAATAAAGTATCTGAAATCATTTAAAAATATGAAAGCTCTAGATTAATATTTTTAATTACAGAAAATTTTATCCTGAATGTGCTTGAAGGAGTTAGAAATTGATACACATATTTTACATTACAGTATATTTTTGAGAAACTGTAAATGCCAAGCAAAACCAACCACACACTGATAAATGAAAGCATCTTAGGCCAAAAACTAAAGTATACTCCTGACTTATTAATAAGCCCTTTTCTGACTTTATCAGACTGAATAATACCTTCAGTAAAAGTAGTAAGAACACAAAATAATTAAACATTATGTTTTCCAGGGTCATGTATTTTGTCTACAAATATAGAACATTTATATGTAACAATGCAAATCTTCACTTCTTTAAAGTGACTTTTTTCTTCTTTCTCCTTGATTCAAACTGGCCTTAATGCTCATTTCTTTCCTCATCCTTCCTCCTCTGCACAGATTGCATGACCACTCCCTTAATCATTACACCCTTAGGTCTTAGGAACAAAGCCTCAGGTCTGCTGACCACAGAAACAGAGGTTCAGGCAAACTAAAGATAACATCTTGACTTCAGTTGTGTTTCAGTTCCAGACCCATGAAGGTAAAATGGCCCTATTGACCACATCCCCTTTTTTTAAAATTTTAATTAGTACATTGGTTAGATATTTATGTAGTTTATAAAACGATTCCCCTAATTGCTCCTTCTCTCCTCTGGTTGACCACATCCCTTTGAAACCAGACAGAACACCATGACTGACATCAGGACTTGATGCAATGATCAACTGCCTCCTATCCTAGAACTGACCAATGAGTAAAGCCCATGACCTCCAACTCCCTTAGCTACCAGGGTAAATGAGTTCTCCCCTATATAACCTATCTCCTAGAAGCAATTGGGAAGCCAGACTTTGAGTGCTAGCTCACCTGTGTCTATTGGACTGATGCCATTTCCTTAAATAAACCTTTAACTTTGCTGCAAACCCGTTTTTGTCTCATTTGGCTTTGATGCACCCAGGGAAAACGAAACGTCTCCCCATTTAGGTAACAATTACAACGTTTCTATAACATTACAAATAAAAAAGAGAAGCAGAAAGTAACTGTGTAAAGTCTACGAACCCAGTAAAATGTGCTCCATATACACAGAAATAGTCATGATTACTTAATTTCTCAATGATTAATCTTATGATTACTAATATTTGTGGCTTTTCAGTATTTTCAGTATTCAAGAGCATACTGAAAGAGTAACTTTTAACTTCCTTTCACTTAACAAATTGTTATGTGATTCATCTCAAAAAGTATTAAGAAAAGATGGCTCAAAGAAAGACAATGATGGTGCTTTTATAATAACAAAAATCATAAAATTTTAGAACCAGAGGGTTAAAAAAAAATCATTTTACAGATGAGGCTCAGAGAGATTCACCACTTGTCTAAAATTATTATATAGCCGGTTCCTTAGAAACTAGGCAGGACTAATGATTCCCAGACCAGTGCATGCTTAATATTAAGGAAATATATTTCTTTTAAACACATTAAGGAAAAAATAAATAAAAATCTAAGCATAATCTAACTATAAAGCAAAATTTCTAATAGTAACATACTTGCTTTACTGAAAACAAAGTGTTTTTTTAGACACACATATTAAATAAAATTTTTCCAGCACCTGGGTGCAAATATAAAAGCTAGCTATAAAAAAATTCCTAGTCTCTGCTGCAATAACATAAAAAGCATACCAAAAAGCTAAGTACAAAGAACGAATAAAACCTAAGTTTTAAAAAATGAAAACATCTATTTGTCTGTAATGGGAATCAACAAAAACAAAGAGACACACACTATCATAAACCTTTTGTGATAGATAACGCTTTGGCTAAAAGATATCATAGCACCATATACATTTTACTGTGCAACTCAACTAAGTCACAAGTGAAATACTGCTCTAAGGAAACAGGTATGGACATGAAAAGCCAATCTACATTATACTCCAAACGATATAAAAATCAGGAAAAGAGATTTTGAAAATATAAAGGTTTTCAGTCACTGCTGCAATATCATGTAAAGCCCATAAAATAACCCAAGAAGTATTTTTTAACATGGAGATCAATAGGGAATTATAAAAAGTTGATATGTTATCAACACACATGATT